CTAATTGCCCACTGGACATTCTTCCCTCCAAGTTTTTGAAAGAGGTTTTTAATTCTGTGGGTTTCTGTATTTTAACATTTTTAAACTCCTGCCTTCGTCTAGGAATTGTCCCTGCTGCATTTAAACATGCTGTGGTTAGGCCCTTTCTTAAAAAACCTCACCTAGACCCATCACTTTTATCAAATTTTAGACCTATTTCGCATCTGCCTTTTTTAGCTAAAGTCTTAGAAAAAGTTGTTTTTATGCAGTTACAACCTGTTTTAGAAAACAATGGTATCTATGAAACATTTCAGTCTGGATTTAGAACCCGTCATTCTACCGAATCAGCCCTGTTAAAAGTCCATAATGACATTTCCATGTCCATGGATGTCAAGTGTCCCGTTGCTCTGGTGCTGCTGGACCTTACAGCTGCGTTTGACACAGTGGACCACGCTGTCCTGTTGTCTCATCTCCAATATTATGTTGGAATTTCTGGTACAGCTTTCAAGTGGTTCACTGCTTATTTGACCAACAGAACATTCTCTGTCATGCTGAATAATCTGTCTTCCTCCTCTGCCCCTCTCTCTTGTGGTGTGCCACAGGGTTCTATTCTTGGTCCTGTCCTCTTCACATTGTACATGCTGCCCCTTGGATCAGTGATAGCCAAACATAATTTTTCTTTTCACTGCTATGCTGATGATGTACAAATTTATTTACCAATGAAACCTAAAAACAGTAACCTTCTCACACCTTTCGTTGATTGTATTGCCGACATTAAACAGTGGCTTCATCTTAATTTTTTGTTTTTAAACGAAGGAAAGACAGAATGCATTTTCTTTGGTGATGATGCTCCCTGTAACTTTGGTGCTCTGACATCCAAGTTCAGATCCACAGTTAAAAACTTGGGAGTGACATTTGATAAAGACTTAAAGTTTGACAAACAAATATCCTCTGTAGTCAAGGCCTGTTTTTATCAGTTACGTCTTTTATCCAAAGTTAAGCCTTTTTTAAATCGTTCTGACTTGGAAAAGGCCATCCATGCTTTTATAACTTCAAGGCTCGACTACTGCAATTCCCTATATGCAGGAATCTCCCAATCCTCCATTAGACGCCTGCAATTGGTCCAAAATGCTGCAGCTCGACTTTTAACCAACACCTCCAGACGTGAGCACATCACCCCTGTTTTATTTTCTCTCCACTGGCTTCCAGTCGATTTTAGAATTAAATTTAAAATTTTATTATTCAATTTTAAAGCTCTTAATGGTCTTGCCCCACTATATTTGTCTAATCTTGTAGCTGTCCGTGAATATAGGAGAACACTGAGATCTTCTAATACATTTCTACTTTCTGTCCCAAAGTCCAACTACAAACGATGGGGTGACCGGGCCTTTTCGGTTGTCGCACCCAGACTCTGGAACCAGCTACCTCAGAACTTGCGCTCCATCACTGACATGGAGCATTTTAAATCTAATCTTAAAACCTTTTTATTCAGGCAGGCTTTTAATACCTAGTAGGTCTTTGACAATTTTGCTATGTTTTAATTGTTTTTGTTTTTAACTGACTGATTTTTTTATTATTCTTGTTTGTTTTTAACTTCTGTACTGTGCAGCACTTTGTGCACCTTTTGGCTGCTGGAAAGGGCTCTATAAATAAAGTTTGATTGATTGATTGATTGATTCAGGGAAGGGTCCATTATCACGCCCAGATTATTGACTCTTTGTTTTTCTGACAGGGTTAGAGCGTAGAGGTCGATACAGTGGTTTGTGATCATGTCGTTGGGAGGGAACAACATGACTTCAGACTTCTTTTCATCGAAACTCAAGAAATTTAAAGCCATCCAGTCCCTGATGTCAGCCAGGCAGTCGAGCAGCGGTTGAATAGAGCATGTACCATTGTGTCTTAGGGGAAGTAAATTTGACAGTCATCGGCATAGAAGTGGCAGGGCATGTTGTGTTTCCGGAAAATAGCACCAAGCGGCAGCAGGTATAAAGAGAATAGGAGGGGACCCAGGATGGACTCCTGCAGAACCCCCCATTTAAGCTCTGCCTCTGTGGAACTAAAATCCTTCATGGAGGTTGTTCCACCTGTATTTTTCTTGATGGAACAGACAAAGAAGAAATAATGAATATTGTAAAAAATCTTGCAGACAAAAGATCAAAAGATTGAGTGGATATGGATATGATGTTTGTAAAGAATATAATGAATTATGTTATTGAGCCGTTTACATATATATGTAATTTATCAATCTCAACAGGAATTTTTCCAAACAACATGAAAATAGCCAAGGTAATTCCTCTTTTTAAAAAGGGTGAGAAACGTGTGATAGACCAACATCCTTGTTGCCACATTTTTCAAAGATTTAGAGAAGTTATTTGTGATTAGATTGGATCAGTTTATCGATAAACAGAATATATTAAGTAACAGTCAATATGGGTTTAGACCTAAAAATTCTGCATCAGTGGCTCTCATGGAATTAATAGAACAAATAACAACTGCTGTTGATCAAAAAAAGTATTGTGTTAGTATTTATGTTGATTTAAAGAAAGCATTTGATACTATTGACCACAGTATTCTTCTTGAAAAGCTAAATAAATATGGTATTAGAGGGCTAGCATTACAGTGGGTATCTAGTTATTTAGAAGAAAGGAAATAGTTTGTTCAAATAAATGATGTAAGATCTGAACTTTGTAACATCACTTGTGGAGTGCCTCAAGGTTTTGTAGTTGGACCTAAGTTATTTATTTTACATATAAATGACCTGGTAAATGTGTCAGGACTGTTTAGATGTGTTTTATTTGCAGATAATTCTACAATTCTTTGTTCGGGTAAAGATATAGAATGAATGTTGGAGTTGGTACAGACAGAATTTGTAAAAATACAAAATTGGTTTCAACTAAACAAATTATCATTACATTTGGATAAAACAAATTACTTGATATTCAGTAACAGTAAGAGAATTGTCGATGCTCCATTTAGAGTCGATGGTGTTGAAGATTTGTAGAGTCAGTGAGGTGAAGTTTCTGGGTGTCATCCTTGATGAAAAGCTGACATGGAAACCTCACGTAAATAATTTAAGAACAAAAATATCTAAATCTATTGCAGTACTGTACAAAGTAAGGGAGTTACTCAATGATAAAGCACTGTTTATGTTGTATAATGCAATAATTGTCCCATCCACATGTCTGCTAGAGCCCATCCCAACCAGGCTATTTAAAGACGTATTTCCCTTAATTAATAACCATGTTTGTATCTGCTTAATTTGTCTGTAATAAACGGTTATGTACCACAGAGCTTAAAGATTGCTGTAATTAAGCCATTACTTAAGAAACATAACCTTGACTCAGGAATCCTAGCCAATTATAGACCTATTTCTAATCTAACTTTCATCTAAAAAAATTCTAGAGAAAATAGTTGCTGGTCAGTCACGTGATTATCTGCAAAGAAATAATCTGTTTGAAGAGTATCAGTCAGGGTTTAGAGCTCACCATAGCACTGAATCTGCACTGGTGAAAGTTACTAATGATATTCTCATGGCCTCTGACAATGGACAGGTGTCTACACTGGTCCTGTTAGACCTCAGTGCTGCATTTTATAAAGTTGATCATAATATTCTAGTACAGAGACTTGAATATGATATTGGAATTACAGGAACGGCTCTAAACTGGTTTAAATCTAATTTATCTAATAGATTCCAATTTGCAAATAAGGACTCCTTATCAAACACAAAAGATAGTCATGGAGTTCCTCAGGGTTCAGTGTTTGGACAAATAGTCTTTACTTTATATATGCTCCTGTTAGATAAAGTTATTAAACAGCATGGGATACATTTTCCTTGTTATGCTGATGATACAGTTATATTTGTTCAATGAAGCCGAATGAATCCAATCAGGTACCTAGATGATAAAAAAAAAAAAATGATGCAGAAAAACTGGTTCATGCTAGGGCATTAACAGAGTACTCGAGTAATCTACACATCGATTGCAAGGACATCTATCGATGTTAAAAATGTAAAGTCGGGTATCCGTAGTGACGTCATATTATGTGACCACGTATGACCGTAGGGGGCGGTGTTGCACTGTTGCAGGTCACAGAGTATGGTGTATCACCGGGTCCTATCCACCGAACCAGAACCAGTTTCGGTTTAAGTTTCGTTTTTGACGTGCTGCACGTTTCTTCACGTTTGCAGTTTAATAATAATAACTAATAGTTTAGTTTTTCCTGTGACTTATTTGCAGTATGATAAATGGTAGGAGCATAATATATGCTCCCAATGTTTTGTTGGTCTTTTTTTGTAAATAATTACCTTTTTTTGCGGTTTTATTTATTTATTTTTGTATCTTGAGATCTATGACGTCATCAAATACTCGAGTTCTACTCGGGTTTTATTATGTTAATGTCTAGTTTTAAAATTATATACTCGTTCAACCCCTAGTTCATGCATTTGTCCTGTCTAGTCTGAACTATTGCAATTGTTTATTATATGGGTGTCTGAAGGAAGGTGACCCCACTTCACTGAACAACTATTGACCACTCTTTAAACTGCATTTTAGCTAAGGTTCTAGAAAAACGGGTAAACTCTCAAATCAAAAAGTATTTGGACTCATTTAAAATCTTACATCCCCATCAACCTGGTTTCAGGAAATAGCACAGCACAATGACTGTTTCGTTCAAGGTTGAAGTCCTTCCTCCCTGTGGCTATCAATTTTTTAATTCCTCCCCCTTTCTACACAGGGGACAATAAAATTAATCATACATTAAAATAAACACTTTAATGTTTCTGTCTGCACCTGACCTGTTTTGGAAGTTAATTGTTGGTATTTTTATATTATTTTATTTTTTTATAACGTGTGATTCCTTGTGTAAGTTCCTTTGTAATAAAACTCCGGCACGACAATGTCCTGAGTTCGATTAAATTTTATTTCATCTTATATGTCTGCCCTTTTTGCTATTTTCTTACATCATATTGCTATGACTGAGTTTGTACGCAGGTGTGTGCTTTGTTGTGTCCCTGCTTGACTCACATCTCCATGGTGTCCTTGGGAATGCCTTTGGGTAGCGTGTGCAGCCCTCTGTTGCTGCATCGCACCACACTGTCTGAGCACAAGCAGACGTCAGGACAACCAGATGCAGGAAGGCAACCATTATCTTCAGCACCTGGAGAGAAAGGAAAGAGTTCCACCTTAAAACTGAATGTTTAAAGGAAGAGGAGTGTGAGGACAGAAGAGCAGTCAGGGAAAACATATATAACTAGTAAAGAAACAGATTAAAAACAAATGGGAGGGCAAGAGAAAAGGGAGTAAAATATGGACAAATAAATGCATGGAGATAAAGGCGCATGGCAGTTTTTAATGAGTGCTTTATGATCCAAATGACCAGAGGCTGTTAAAAACGCAGACAAGGACATACACACATATCAAACTCATTTTAGGGACAGAACTGTTAAAAATGAACTAATGTTATTTATAAAACTGGTACCAATATAAAACAAAAACAATTGCATTTCATTATTTTATTGTCATACATGTTTCAAGATTAAGCTTGTAAAAATTATACAAAAACTTCCAGTAATAATTTTTTGTGATTTTTTAAAAATATTGTGACATGTGTATCCACAAATGTTTACTTAGTAACATCCTGATGCATGCTCAATAATCCAGGTAGAAAAATTTAAAAAAGTTAAATCTGGTCCTCTGGACATTCAAAAAAAAAACACAAAACAAAGCAAATCAACAAAAAATGTAGAAACGTTTCGTCTCTCGTCCGAGAGACTTCCTCAGTCTGAGGAGCTGTTTTCAGCTCAGTCTCTTAAATAGCACCTTCTCAGAGTGGATCAACCAGTTTTGCTGCTGACAACCAAAACCAGCTGATCACATGCTCAAGAAGGACCATCAGCCTAACAATGGATCATTAGCACACTGATGGCTGTTTACTGTTCACAGAGGGCTGAGTGATACTAGCAATCACAGCATTGTAAGAGGGGGACAGTTGAACCCGGAAGCCTCCACCCCTGTTTAACGATGGACGGTTTCTTTTCACAAAGATGGCCTCCTTTACTCCTCTCTCAAACCATCGTTCCTCTCTGTCCAGGATGTGAACATCTTCATCCCTGAAAGAGTGACCGCTGGCCTGGAGATGAGTGTAGACCGCAGAGTCCTGGCCTGATGATGTTGATCTTCTGTGCTGGGCCATCCTTTTGGCCAGTGGCTGTTTTGTTTCCTCGATGTAGGACTGATCACAGCCCTCCTGACACTGAACAGCATACACAACATTGCTCTGTTTGTGCCGGGGGACTGGATCTTTGGGATGAACCAGTCTTTGCCGTAATGTATTTTGGGGTTTAAAAGCCACTGGGACGTTATGTTTAGAAAATAAACGTCTCAGTTTCTCTGATACTCCCTCAACATATGGAATGACCACTGGTCTGGGTCTGGGTTCCTCCTTTTCACCTGTTGGCTGACTGGAGTCCTGTTTGGGTTTCTTCTCTGCTTTCAGGAAGGCCCAGTTAGGATATCCACATTGCTCTAGAGCCTGTCTTGTGTGGGATTTCTCCTTCTGCCTGGCTCCTGAGCTAGTGGGGACGCTGTCTGCTCTGTGATACAGAGTCCTGATGACTCCTAACTTGTGCTCCAAAGGGTGATGGGAGTCAAACTGCAAATACTGGTCTGTGTGGGTGGGTTTGCGGTAAACCTCGGTTTGCAAATGTCCTCTATCAGAGACTGAGACCTCACAGTCCAAGAAAGCCAACCTGCCATTTTTTACATCTTCTCGTGTGAACTTGATGTATTTATCCACAGAGTTGATGTGGTCAGTAAAATGTTGGACTTCCTGAGATTTGATTTTAACCCAGGTGTCGTCAACATACCTGAACCAATGACTTGGTGGTGTCCCTGAAAAGGACGTCAAGGCTCTCTTTTCTACCTCCTCCATGTACAGGTTGGCAACAATAGGAGAAACTGGAGACCCCATAGCACACCCATGTTTCTGCCTATAATATTGCTCCCCATATGTGAAGTAGGTTGACTGCAGGCACAGTTTCAAGAGTTGACACAGTTGTTCTGTGGAAAGTGTGGTCCTGCTGCTCAGAGTGGTGTCTGATTTTAATTTTAAACTGACCACCTCTACTGCATCATCAACAGGAATGCATGTAAAGAGTGATGTGACATCAAAAGAGACCATTGTTTCATCAGTCTCCATGATGACATCCCTCACCTTGTCCACAAAGTCCATGGTGTTCTGTATGTGGTGTTCTGAGCTGCCAACTAAAGGGATGAGTACAGATGCCAGATATTTAGAAACATTGTAAGTGACAGAGTTAATCATACTAACAATTGGTCTTAAAGGTACACCTTGTTTGTGGATTTTAGGTAAACCATACAGACTAGGTGTGGCCTCCCCTGGGTACAGTCTGTGGTACAGAAAACGGTCAATAGCCTTGTCCTGCTCCAAAATTTTCAGGCAATCTATTAACTTTTTCTTGTAACCACTTCCTGGATCTCTTTTCAGAGGTTCATAAGTGTTTAAGTCACTAAGGAGTGTCATAACTTTCTCATGATAGTCTTTCTGGTTCAAAATCACTGTGCACCTTCCTTTGTCTGCTGGGAGAATGATGATGTTTTTGTCCTTGCTAAGAGTGGTGAGTGCATCCCTCTCCTCTCTACTGATGTTGGAAGGTGGTGGTTTGGCATTGCTGAGGCAGGCTGAAACTTTGATTCTGAGCTGTTCTGCTTCAGCCTCTTTA